AAAAAATAACAAAAAAAAAAAAAAATCAAACAAAATCTTTTATTCTGCACTTTGATGGATGCATACCTGTAAACAGCGTTGCAATCGACATGATTGACAGAACCTCCGTTTTAAAACATTTATAACACACTTTTGATTGAATGGACATTTTAGAAACTTAAAATAATTGATTATAATTAATATATTGAAATTAAAATTGAAAATAATGAAAAGGATTTCTAGAATTTGTTACATTATAAAGTTTTTTAAAATAAATCAATGCATTAAAAAAAAAAGATAGCAAAATGAAACAACTGATGACACCAGTAATATTTACAATATAATTAACTAATTAAATAACTATATCCGAAATTCTTATTAAATTAGATCAAATACATGTTCGAATAAGTATTAACATACTATAGAATTGTGTTGTATCGATATAAAAGTAATAAAAATTATGATATAATTTAATTAACAAGCCTGTTGACGATTAGCATTGCGTCGAAAAAATGCTTTACATGATTCACATGTTATCACCGAGAAATTATAACCAATTGCACGATCACCACACACCTTAACAAATTAGTTATTTTCAAAATTTTAAAAATAACAAAGTATAATTGAAAAATTTCTACATATTCTATGAATTTTAAGATAATTTAATTGTCGTACAATTTGACTAATTGAAGAATTATTCATATTACAATGAATTTATCCGAATAAGAAACAAAAAAAAAAAAAAGAAAAGAAAAATAATTTTATAGGCTGAAAAAAATTAAGCATTAAAATCAATGTCTACTCTACTTTGCAAGATTTTGCCGGAGATTTTGAATTGTTCGTTTTATTATCAGAAACGGTTACATCATTTTCACTTGATAGAGATGATGATGATGATGATGATAATGATGATGATGATGATGATGACATCTTAACATTCAACGTTTTATTTTACAGACATATACGAGCAAAACATATAACATTTTTTAACTGCTAAAGATGCCATGAAGTTTATCAGTAAATTAGAAATGCTTATCTCTAATATTAAACATTGAAAAAAAATAAAATAAAAATAAAAAGTAGAAGAATGATTACAATTTTTTAATGCTTGAAAGCATATCAAACATGATAAAGTTTTTTCGGATCATTTTATATCACCACCAAAATTTTTTAAAAAAAAAGGGACAAAAATAAAATAAACTTGCAGAACAATTCTTTAATTCATTCATGAATCAGATCATTTTTTTTTTAACTCATTTCAAAATATGCTTGTTATTGCTTATTAAATATGCTTATTAATATGCTTATTAAAATGTTTATTACTATGCTTATTATTATTAAAACATATTTGAAATTTTATAAAGTCAACATTTTGCGCAATAAATTTAATGACAATTTCGTACATTAATCAAAATGCCAACATTTTGTACAAACGATCAATGAATTAATTTGTTCAATTTTCATTTATTCCACTTCATTCCGGTTAATTTCATTTAATTCATTTCAATCTAATACTCCATTATGATCCAATTTTTAGCCAATTAATTCATGTAAATTGAATTTTACCACTTATCTAAATTTGTCATATCAATTAGCTCATTCAAATGTCACATAAAAATATTTATGGTCAAGTTCAATTGAATACTAATTATTCAATTTAATCACTCAAAATAAGTGCAAATAAGCTTTCGTTCAACCAAAGAAACAACTGCTTTTCATCCAACAATTTCAAAAATTTCATTTCCAACGACATCGAACACACACACACACACACACAGACACATATACAGACACACACACACACACACACACACACATGCATAAACACACATGCAGATATTTATGCACACATACGAACATACATCATATCTATTCCCTATGGTAAATAAATTTTAGATTTTCTTTTTTCTTTTTTTTTAAATGTCAATTATCCCAGATGCATTCGAGAAGTTTGCTTCATTTACCACCACCTTATCCTTACCAATTGATTATTTTAACATTTTTATCCTTATCATCTACCATTCGTCATTACTCTCTCATTTTTCCTCTAAATTTTGATAAAAAGTAACCGGTTTATCGATTCATACTAACTATCTGTATTCAAATTTATTCCAACCTACTGATAATCACTGAGATTTTACTAACTTATATCATATTAATTTATCTTATTATTTTTATCATAGTGATTAATGTTATGCATAGTATTGATATAATTGCTCCTATCAAAATATTACTATGAAAATTTTGTCGCCATTATCTGTACTATAATTGTTATTTAATTTAATGGATGATAAAAATTTCGGTTTTATTGATAATCATTTGTTTACTCAAGTTTTTTTCTTTTTTTTAATTCGAGTGTAAAAAATAAACAAATCTATTTTTAACACATTTTTTTGCTATCACATGAATTCATTCATTTTCTTTTTTCTTTTTTTTTTATCTAAATATTTTAAAATTACAATATAAAAATATTATCAAAAATAAACAAACATTTATTTGTCATATGCATTAATCCACCTTTTCGATATCTTATATCTATGATTATCTAACCAAGATTATCACTATTTCTCTTAATTAAAAAAATGTTCCAAAATACTATTTAAATAGCGGAAATCGCCTTGAAATCAGCAGACATCAAAATTTCAACAAACAAAAATCAATAGTATTCTATAACCTGAAAACATATGATAGCATATTTCACATAAAATTGCAAATGTAAAAGTAAACATATACCTTAGTCTGTTTAAAAGAAATGTTGCTTATTTTTCTTTCAAATAATAAAATAATATTTTACTACACAATTATGCTTCACTAACATTCGTGAATGTAAAATTAATTTAAAATGTTGAAAATTTATCATAATATGCCGAATTTTTCATCACTTATAGAGATTTCATTTTTTTTTCTCTCTCTCCCTCTTTCTTTTCCTTTTATTGAATTACTTATTTAAATAGCAATAATTAATCATTCATTTAACGATTATTAACAAAACTAATAAAATGATTGACATTATAATTTACGCAATAAAGTTTAACAATTAAAAAAAAAAAAAAAACAAAAAGTCATACAAAAATCATTCATTTCATGCGAAAAATTTTATCAATTAAAATTGTTTTATTTGAAATTACTATTGAAATTATTGAATTTAATCAAAGCAAACATTTATGATTTTTCGAATTATTTTTTTTAATTGTATAATTGGAATTACAAGCGTGAAATAAAATTATAAATATATTTAATCAACTTTTTGCATAATTTTATATCAATATTTTTTATTAGCTTAACTCGACTATTATTTCAAATTCTTATTGTCTTTATTTCAAAATCATTTACCATTTGCATAGCTAAATTAGGTGTTTAAAACAAAAATTTTGGCACCTCATCATGGATTTATGAATTAAAATGATTCTTTAAAAAATTAATTCCTATTATCCTGTCCATTTCCATCATTTCGAGTTATTTTTTTTTTTAATTTTATTAGTATTACACCAAACTCTTCCATTATCACTGTGAAAACTAGCAATCTCTTTTTTCTTCAGAGTGTTACATTTCGAAGAATAAATCATATGTTTTCTTCATGTTTTTTTTTATCAGTGTATTGATCTTATCATATAAGAATACCTACCAGTCAGTTTCGTTATTTCAATTTGTTGTAAAATCTCCTTGTTATATCAGTTTCTATTTCGAAATCCTTTAGGAAATCCTTTAATGATATTTTCTGTCAATTGATCTTTGATTACAACAATTCTTTTTGTCCACATTTTCATGCCCATATAACTGTTCATTCCTTTACCTGGTTTACAACTACTGTCATGTATCAACTTGTCTTTCTAATCTATCGCAGAGTCAATCAGTTCTTTAATTAAGACTTTTTTGCGAATCCAAATCGTACCGTCCTGCATTCAGTCATTTGTAGGAAAGGCTTCATCACCATTTATCTATATCAGTGCAAGAATGCAAGTAAGTGCATGCACGATTTGCAGTCACAATGTTCTCGCCCTTCACGACATCGATTTACTAGAATTGCTCATTTGCTAATTAGCTGCTTCGGGCATGTTGTCTTTGTTTAGTCTCCACTTCATTATTTTTCTTATTTCAAGTATAGACTAATTTTTTTGCTAATTTTACTAGTTTAAAGAACGATAAAGTATTTGTAGCATTCAATCTTTCAATAA